CCCCCCCCCCCGACCACAGGAGTTCTGGGGAAGAAAAGCAGCAGGAGACGACATCTTCCCCGGCCCAGGGATCTCCTGCTGCCAGGAGTGACTTTGTAGCTGACAGTTCCAGAGCATCAGCCCGGTCTCTCTCTTTCAGCACCTCACCGCCAAGCAGCAGCAGCCTCAACAAACTCCCTGGATTCTACCCTCAGAGACAATCTGAAGCAAGCATGGCAAGCTAACAGTACTTGCTCCTCAAATTCCTTGGGGACTCAGCCCCGAGCAGCAGCTCTGATTTAAAGGCTGGTTGCAACCCAGGCCCACAGAGTCTCTGTGGGGACAGAACAATGCCCCAAACCTGCAGCCTCTCCTTTTGGCTGCAGAGCAGTAGCTGAGCTGCGCAGATACCTTCCTCTGGTCCCAACTGAAACACGAAATCACCCTCCTAGGCACCCCAAATGAGACTTTAAACTTGATGAGAGTTACTGACCAGAGAGCTCAGGCACCCCAAATAATACCAGCTCCTTTGTGGGCTAGTATGACCCCAATCTGTGGGAGCTGACTGGACACCCCACTGGAAATTGGTTGCTGAACGGATGGGAGGGGCTGGGAAATGCAATTTGGCCCTACCACCAGGCCAGCCTGGGGAGGACAGGGGTGACTTCCAGAGAGGAGGGGAGAAGGACACAAAGAACTGCAACCCAGACTCAGAGAGACCCAGGTTGGAAACGACAGGACCACATTTGGCACTGTCATCCAAGCTGGCCTGACAGAGGAGTGACCACGCTGGATATCCTCGTGAACATACCAGAAGGACAACCTTAGATATTAGGCAAACCTCCCTGCAGCACATGGGGCATCTTGGCAGCCCCAGAAGGGCCCCAAGGCACTACCAACCCTGCTTCTGCCTTCCTTTCTCCCTTCCCACCTCTATGGAAAAATCCTCACCTGCAAACCCCATGGGAGGCTTCTGCACAGCTAGTGATGACACTGGGAAAGACATACCCCATTAGAAGGCCCTCTGTGCAGGGGGAGGCGGCCAAGAGGGGGCACGAACCAAGGGGAAGTTCAACAGTGTCCTTGTGGAGCTCTGCAAAGCAAGGAGGGCAGGCCTCTCTGCCACAAGGAGCCATATCCCCAAACCTCAAATGCACGACTGCTGCAGCCAACCCAGAGATCCACTAGTTGACATCGAACAGGCATCACGCAATGCTTGAGGACCCAAGAGCCACCTCAGTGGCCTTCCTGACCACAAACCAAGCCTATCCAGACTGAGAAGCTTGGAGGAGGGGAGCGAGGGGGGGAGGAGGAAAATTGGAATCTTCTGTACATTGCCAAAATGCTACATGCTATGGTGGCACAACCTCCAGGAGACTCTGCCTCATATGTGAGCTCATAAAAGAATGGCCTCAAGGCACCGACACGTCGTTCTCATGGTGCTTTCCTCTACTTCAACCAATCAGAAAAACTAAACCAAACATGGGAGACCTAATCAATTCTCTTTCTATCCTGGACCAGGAAATACTTCTGCCAGCCAAGGGAGACAAGCTTCTGAGGTTCCCATGCCAGGAACAGTCCCACCATGGCCGTGGCCTGGGACGCAGAGAAAGTGACCGGTCCTTCTGTCCAGCCTCTCATCTTCTGGCTTCCTGACCTTCCAAGCCCATGGGGTGGGGTGGGGTGGGGGATCTTCCTGGCAAGCGACATCCCCTGGGCCAGGAGGCAGCGCAGAGATGCCCTAGGACACACGGAGCTGGAGCAGCAGCAGATGGCGCTCCTTGTGTTCCTGGCCCAGCTCCTTCCCCTCAAGGCCCCATACTCAAAAGAAGGCACAGTGGGGCCCAGGGCAGAGCGGAGCTCAGGAGAGGGTAAGAGCTTCCTGGGGCACCACCTGAGAGGCACCTTCCCTCCCCTCCTCCCAGGAAAGCCTCCCTACTGCTTACCTCTGCTTGGCAACCAGCTTGCCAGTCCTCTTCTCCTCCTCCTCCAACCGCCGTCGGGCTTCCTCCAGCTGTGTCAGGGGGTTGGGAGCAGGGTTGGGGGGCATGGTTGGGTCCTGGATGAAAGGGTGGGATGGCTGCACAACATTCCGGAACGCCATCCAGGGGTGCACAGCCACAGGGCGATCGATGGGACCTGGGCGGGGCGGGTCGTGAGCCAGCTGCTTCTTGGTACCTGAAAAACTTCAAAGAAAACAAACAGAAACTGAAAGAGTGCTCCAAGACAGCTGCAGCAGAGCAGAGATGAGAGCGGCAGGTAAAGCAGAAGAGCTAGACAAAAAACCCAGGTCTCTGGCCGCCCATCTGAATGGGAAGGCCTCTGCCATCGCCATCGCCTGCGCCCGAGGCAGACAGCAGCAGCACCATTCCTGGGAACAAGCCATGCTTCCTTCCCCTCCTCCCTCCGGGGAGCTGAAGAAGTCCTCCCAGTCAGACGACAGGCAGGCCGGGACTGGAGGGGAGGGGAGGGGCAGGGACCTGCGAAGGATCTGTAAACTAAATGGCAGAGGCTTCCAAGGACACCCCAACACTTCCTGGCCACAAGCTGAGATGAGGATGAATTTGGAGCACTGGAGTTTGTTCTCTCTCCCCACGCCAAGGTAGAGACTCTCCCCTCGCACGTCACAAGTACAGAGCAGACCCATCCCACCAGAGCCCACACTGGGCAGCCCGAAGGAAAAAATGCCAGGAACCAAGGGGGCAGCCACAGCCACACGGCCTGTTCTCAGGCAGAGCATCTCGGAACAGGTGGCTACAAAGCCCGTGCGCTGCTTCAGCGGGGGGGATCCATCAAGGGGGAGGGCAGCCAGGAGCAGCAATTCTGGCAACCTGAGATCCACTGCATCTTCCTCACCGGGGGCACCTTAGCCTCCGGCCTTGCAGGGATACCATGCTGGCACCTCTGCCACTTTGCCAGCATTGGGGTCCCGCATGCCTCTCCCCTCCCCACCCCGCTTACCCATGGGTTGTCTTTCGGTGCCTGCTGATCTCCTTTTCACCTTCTATGATCCACTGCATGATCTTCTGGTTCTTTTCCAGGTCTTCCGGAGAGCCAGGCACGTCATAGCTGGTGCCATCGTTTTTCCCAGGATCCGACTTCTTGGCATTCCGCTTTGAGAGCAAGCCAGCTTTCCCACTAGCCAGAAGAGAGGAGAGAGCATGGATAACAAGAGAAACAGTGGACACTACAGGCAACCGAGGTCTTTCTCTCATCACTCTTCCCGAAATGTGGGGAAGAAACGCGGCCTCCTGGCCTTGATCTGGCTGCGGCTGGTTCCCACACCAACTCTGCCGAGAGAAGCTGAGGGCATCTTCTGCAGCCCCTACTCCCCGCAGGGCTTTGGCAAGCCAAGATGGGAGCTCCACGACCCCCCTGGTTGATCCTCAGCCCCCCTGCAAGAGCAGAGGGGCTCGACCCTCCTGCCTGGGTCCCTTGCTCTCCCCCTTCACAGCTGCTGTTCTCAAGGGCTCTAGCGGAGTGCCGAGGGGCTGGACTGGCGGAACCCACATTCACGCCCACCCTTGGCCATGGAAACTCCCTGGGGGACTTTGGACTAGCAAGTTCTCTCAGCCCCACCTACCTCACAGGGTTGTTGTTATGGGGATAAAATGAAGGGAGATATCCACGTAAGCTGCCTCGAACTCCTAGAGAAAGACGAAATATAAATCTGACTAATAAATAACTGCCAAATTCACCTGTAGGCCACGGCATCCAGAGGGCCTGGGGCCAGGCCCATGCTTTCCCCGTAGGCCCGCGACTTTGTGGCACTGCTGTGAGGATCAACACTCCAGGCGAAAGGGCCCTGCGTGCGCTGGCTGGTCGCCTCCTCCACTGTCTCCTTGGCCTTCAGACCGCCATGGTGATGGACCACGTGATGATAAACGTGCTTGTGGTGATAGAGGTTGGCAGCCTCCAGCTTCAGCCCCGACTTGCTGGCGTGCTTGCCGTGGCCCAGCGGGACAGACCCCGTCAGGCCATGCAGCTTGCCGACAAGCCCGCTGTCCGGAGATCGGGGTTTGGGGGACTGGCAGCCGGGTGTTTTCATCACCCGTTGCACATGCTCATCCAGAATGCTCTCTGGGTTCTCTTCGTGAGCATCGCGCAGCTGCAGCTCAGCATAGCGGGGGGCAAAGTGGGGCAAGAGCTGTGTGGGGGCCAGCTTGTGGCTCATGAGGGACGGGCCCAAGGGGAGGTCTGTGTCTTCCCCTTCTTCCTCCTGTCACAAGACACAGATGGGTCAGGGTGCAAGGCAGCACAGGCAGAGAGGCAGGAGGACATGGCACAAGCCCAGAGCCTGGAGAGGGTGCGGCAGCATGGGGCCAACCGGGAGTAGCTCCCGTCCCCCTGCAACGAGGGGGACTGAGAGGGCAACTCAACTGAGCCCTCTGCACCGACAGCCAGCTTGGCTTCTGAAACCCTCCTGCCCAGAGCAGTGGCTCTGGATTTCCAGCCCTCTGGTTTCTCTGGAGCCCAGGCCCCGCGGGGCAACTGCCCCCCTCCCCCCAAGAACTGGGGGAGTGCAATGGCGGCAGCTGTCACTCACTGCTCGGACCCGCTTCAGGCGCTCCTCTAGCTTGGCCTCGGCTTCCCGGTCCCTCAACACTTCCTCAAGGCGGTTGATTAGCTCAGCAGCAAACTTCTGGGGTTCAACGTGGATGTCCTTTGGCATTCGGTACGTTCGCTGCAGGAAAGAAGAACTGGTTCGCAAAGCAACTTGGCCCTTCTTCCTCCACAGTCTTCCTCTTTTGGGAAGGGTGTTAAAAAGCCTGGGGAGCAGGTGATTGACCCCTTGGTGCCAAGGCTTTCTCCTGTGGACCAATCCATCCCAGGCACACCAAATCCATCACGTGGGAGCACGTTCACAGTGGAAGTGGCCACGCTCATTCCCCAAAGCCACCAGCCTTGCAGAAGCCAACAGGGAAGGCTATGGGGTGATTGCCAGGTGCTCCCACCAAGAGCAAAGCAGCAGAAGGGGCAGCCCAGACCTTGAGACGCTTCAACGAAGGGGCTGAAATGTGCAGGAACAGCTGACCTGTGCAGCGCCCATAAGCACTTGCTTGGGGACAGAAATTCCCAAGGACAGAGAGCAGACGGACCCTGCCTTTTCACTGGCCAGGTCATCCCCAGAACAACCCCCTCCCAGCCGAGTGGACACACAAGCCTCCAGGCACACTGACCGACTCCACAAAGATGGTCTGTAAGCTTCCTCTGGCACCGGAAGCTGCTCCAGGCAGTTTTGGGATGACAGAAGGGAGGAAGCCAGGCCTGGAGGTGCTCGTCCAGCAAAGCAGAGCTGCCAAGGCCTTGGGGCTGGGAGGAGGGGAAAGGGGCCAACTGCACCGGCTAGAAGGGGCTCCAAGGTGGGAAGCAACTTTCTAACTGGGCTGGCATCAGTCCAGCGGTGGGCCTGCAGGCCGGAATTGGCCTGGGGCGCCCGCTGCAAGAGACAATGCTTCCCTATGCCCTGGGAAAGGAAGACCCCATGAAACATGGCCTCCACCGCCTCCCAGAGCACTCTTGTCCCTTACCGGAATGTGAGGTAGTGGCACACGTCCATTTGCTTTGGCACTTTCTTGCATCTCTCTGCGATGCTGCTTCCGCAGCCGGTAAGGGGGAACCCCGTCTCTGCCGTGAGGAAGCAACAACCCATTAACTAAAAGGCTGCTCGGAGGAGAGCCACCCTTGGCCAGAATCTCTGGCCCTAGGAGCAAGTGCACGCCAGAACCAACTGCCTTGCAGCCCTTCTGCCCAAGGGAAGCTGCCATGCCAGCACCCTGCCCCCACTAGCCCAGGGCAGGAAGTCCCACGAGGAGTCCTGCCCCACTCCCACCCGAAATGTCCTGCTACCTTCCTTCCTCCATCATGTTACCAGCTCCTGTAACACTCTGTTTCTAGGCTGATAAAGGTTCAGGAGATGTTTTTATAAACACAGCTGTCTTTTTTAAGCTGGCTGCTGCCAGACATGGATCCAGAGTGTGAAGAGCTGCTGGGAGGACTGAAAATCCACCCACAGAGACACTGCCCCTCTCCCCTCCTTGGGCCCATCCTGACCCTTTTCAGGTACTCACAGGCTGCTATCAGTCAGTGACATGGTATCAGCATCACTGGACATGCTATGCTGCTCACTGTCGTTTGCACTGGTGACTGGTGCCAGGGCATAGCCAGTGTTGACATAGTACGGGTGCACTGCCTCTCTCCAAGGCCCATGCCTGCCAAAAAAAGACTAGGTAGTGCCAGGGACCCCACAGCATCTACCATCCACGCTGGAAGGAGAAGGCGAGGAGGACTATCCCTAACAAAAGCTTTTCGTCCCCACCTGTATGCCGGGGAGGACAGAACCAAAAGCATGGAAAGGCAAGTGTCCACTTCATGAATCAAAATTCCAAACATTAAGATGTCCCCACCAAAGATATCTCATTCTTCTTTACAGAATTGCTGAAATGTAACACTTCGGTGGAGTTCTTGGTGCTCTCTGAGCTTGGCTGTCTGCTTGCAGACGTTTCATGACTCAACTAGGTAACATCATCAATGTGAGTTAACTGTGGGGTTTGCTCCTTGCCCCCACACTTACTCACACTGATGATGTTACCTAGTCGGGTCATGAAACGTCTGCAAGCAGACAGCCAAGCTCAGAGAGCACCAAGGACCCCACAGTTCAACCGTGAACTACGCATATAGTCTTCTACTGTAACACTGCTGTTTTATTAAAACAAATTCCAGGGGATGTTTTGTCCAGAATACATTATTGCACAAGGCGCAGTAATGTTTGCAAACTTTTGTGATTGCCTTTAACTACTGAGTTTCTTAAGTATTATGCAAGAGAAAAAAAGGAAAACAGATACTAACGGTCTTACAAAATTAGCCACGCTTCCTGCTTTCCAACTGCTATTCTGTATTCTATTTTTACCAAAACATTTGACACACAATTGAAGAGCAGCAGGAACAGGTGATGTGATGTTGCCGTATGAAGTTATTTCTGCAGTAAAAAAAAAACCCTCAACCTGCTAATTAGTAAACATTTGCCTTGGAAAAGCTGCAGATGCCTCTTACACCCAGGACAACTGCAGAATTCTAATTAGATTCTAAGTTGAAAGGATCCCAGGGCGTGGATTGAGACTCCAAGACAATTCTTTTACTAAAGTTTGGAGCTTGACGGAGGCTGAGTGAAAGACTGCAATTGTCAAAGATGCAGCCTTCAACTCCCTGGTGGAAGCAGCACAAAACAAATAAATGCAGAAATCCCAATCCTCTCCCTCCTCACGCTTAAAGCTGACCCCTCATTGGAAGGCTGCAAACTGATGAGAAAGGGGACTGATTACAGTATATGGAAAAGTGGGCTGCTGCCCTGATTGCTTTTTGTAGATTTTTGGGGTAGAACACAGCATATAATGCAATGGGGAAATGATGCTTCAGTCCATTCCAAAAGTACACATGCTTTGGGTTGAGATTACAATTGGGGGACACCCAGTGCCCACCCATCCCTAGCCCACAGGGACAAGGCTGGAGATCTTCTCTAGGTCCTGTATTCACAACTAGAAAAATGATAAGAGGGCAGTAGAATAAAGGACTTTAAGGGCCCTTTGTGTAAGTTTCTCTCTTGGCAATACTCAAACATGCATGCAGAAGTCAAACTTGAGAAGAGCAGCAAGGATGAAATCAAAGTGTAACACACACACGTCAAGAGGGGTGCATTTGTGTTTGGGAGGATAGCAACTTCAAAGGTCAACCCCCCTCACTGACTGCCATCAACAGGACGAAGGAAATTATGTGCAACCGCAGCCTATGCAGGACCAGTCAGAACCCACGGGAGGAGGCCTGGCCCAAAGACAAGCGACTCCTGCTGGATTTGGAAACGGGGAGAAGAGGAGGAGGAGAAGACAGCTATTATCCTTCACGTTAGGGTTCTGAAAAATGGCCGCTGAGCAAGTTACCAGGAAACCACCCTCGCCACCAGAGCAAAGCAGCTTCCAGCAGCCCATCTGAACTGCGTGACCAGAATGTTGTGATCTCTGTTATTGCACAACTGCCCTCATTCCTCACACGGGCACTGATCATCGAAAGGGAATTACCCAGATGTTCACGCTGGCTTCAGAAGGGGTCATGGTAGTCGTGACCATATTGCAAATCTACACTGGATCATGGGAAAATCTCAAGAATATCAAAAGAACATCTACATCTGCTTTACTGACTACAAGAAAGCCTTCAACTGGGTCGATCATGACCAGCTGTGGAGAGCCCTAGGAGACCTAGGGATGCCAACACATCTGGTCAGGTTGGTGCAGTTCCTGTACACAAATCAGGAAGCCACTGTGCAAACACCATTTGGAGATGCTGATTGGTTCAAGATAGAGAAAGGAGTGCGACAAGGTTGCATTCTGTCACCTTTCTTATTCAACCTGTATGCTGAAGTGATTGTGAGGAAGCTGGAACTTGAAGAATCAACAGAGTAAAGATTGGAGGAAGGAACATCAACAACCTTCAATATGCTGACAACACAACTCTCCTCTCAGAAACCAAAGGAGGTCTGAAACATCTGATCAAAAGGATTAAAGAAGAAAGCATTTGGCCTCTTCTTGAACATCAAAAAGACCAAGCTCATGACCACTGTGAGGAATGGAAATGTCAAAATAGCAATTGATGGTGAAGAATACATGCAAGAATTCACTTTCCTAGGGTCACAGATTGATCAAAGCAGTGAATGCAGTCCAGAAATAAAGTGTTGAGTTGCACTGGTTTGCACAGCAATGATGAGTACGAACTGAGTATGGAAAAGCAAGGACATCAGCCTGGCAGCTAAATGTAGATTAGTCTGCACTATTGTGTTTCCCATAGCTCCCTATGGTTGCAAAAGTTGGACCATGAAAAAACTAGACAGGAGGAAAATCAGCTTGTTCGAGTTGTGGTGTTGGAGAAAGCTCCTGCGCATTCCTTGGACAGCAAAGGTGACAAACAAACAAGTTCTACAGCGTATAAAACCAGACATATCGCTGGAAGGCAAAATCCCAAAATTCCACCTTACTTATTTTGGCCATGTCATGCAATCAAACTCACTGGAAAAGGCAGTTGTATTCAGAATGGTCAGCAGTAAAAGGAAAGGAGACCGCCTAAAAACACAGTGACCAGACTTTATCAAAGCCAACCAGAGCATAAAACAACTGGAAGAAGCCGTACAAGATCAGAATATGTGGAGAGAGCTGGTCCACAGAATCGGTGAGAATCGGACATGATCGCACCGATAACATCATCATCATCATCTGCAGCCATTTGGCCTTGGCCTTGTCCACACTGACAGGCTTGCCACCTCTCTCCAAAGGTGCATGCAACCTTAACCCTAACCCTGCACTCAGCTCCCCTCCCCTCACAATCCCTGTCCCTGAAAGGCTTCTGCTGTCACTCACTGCCGAGAGAGATCTGGGGATGCTTCTGACTGGTGACCAGCCTCCCTTGATCTTACAGGGGTGTTGGAAAGCTAGGGTCTGGGGCTTGCCCAATGAGATGCAGTGCTGAAATGAAGGATCTGCTGCCATTTAGTTGCTTTGACCACGCTGGCCTTGCCAGATAATTTAAGAGACAGCTGCGTACTTTGAGAAGAAGGAAAAGAAGTCTGGGTACTAAAAAGTAACGGAAGCTACAGTGAAAATCTGTGGGCAGCCACCCTTCTTCTCTCATTACATGCTATCTGAATTGCTGCAGCTCAATTATGCTGACTTCTAGCAACGTCCTACACGGCAGGGGTGTAAGAAACTCCACTGAGGAGCTACAGGCGTCCTCTACTCCATCAACTTTTGGAGCAGGGCTTCCACGTGCCAGTCAAAGTCTGAACGGCATTTCCTAGTGGACTTCCCACATCAGCCTATGACTTGTTTGTCTGTGAGCCCCACAACCTAAGCAGCTGAGCTGTGCATGACCGAGCCAAACGAGTCTAGTTTCTTGCAAATCTAGACTAACAGAAGCAAAGTTCTGAATCCCCATTCAGCAGCTTTTGAGGTGAGCATCTTCCATGCATATTCTCTACATCTCTAACGCCAGAGATCTTCATGCAGCATTTGGCCAAAAAAGGATAATGGGACCCTGCAGCCCTCCGCTGCTAAGACAAGAGACCCTTTTAACGAGAAGAATAATGGACTCCCCTGAGCAGGACATAAGAAACACCTTTCTGACTGATTCTGACGATTTCCTCGTCTTTGCTCTATGAAACTCTTGTTCCAGAATGATTCATCGTTTTGTATACAGGACCCCAGCACCTGTAAGCATTTTCTCACACAATCAAGAGAAAGAAATCCAAAAGAATCTCTCCTTATCTTAGTCATTCAGCTGCCTCTAAACCCAGATGAAAAAGGACTGCTACCCAAGTCCTATTATCTATCGTGACCTCTAACACTTACTTGGTATCAGATGAATTTTACTTCCTGGCCTCTAGATTGTTTAATTCTTGCAATGGAAAAAGGGAGTTTGTGCAAAGAAAAAAAAAATGAAACTTCTAGTCTCCAAGGCTCTTGGGAGAAATGAGGGGTGGGGTTTATTCAGGAGGGATCTGGAGTTTGCCCTTTTTTAGAAAGTAGCTTGTTAATGTCCAAGAGAAAATGGGGAGAAGCAACTTTAAATTAAAATCCAACTCAGAGCTAGAAGTAGGGATGAGGAGATTTGGATTCAAGTTTTTAAAGTCATCATCATCATCCTTTAACTATTTTCTATGTTGTCTTCTTACACAATGTACGTTGGCTTTAATAAACTCCTCGGTTTGAGTAAATTCTACATCACATCTCTTCACGAAGCGAGAGGGAGAAACAGGAACAAGAGTCGGACTGCCTAGCTCAAAACTCCATAGTCACCTTCATCTTAAAAAGAAGGGAGGCTCCCTGTCTGCAGCCATTACAACCCTGCAATGCAACTCCTTGCCCCTTGCTGTGTCGGCTTGACCTGACATCTGAAACATCTGAAGGCACCAGGATGCCTGGGTTACTGAAAACACAGAGCGAGCTTCAGGAAGAGTCCACCGCAGGAGCGTTTCCCAGCTGCCAAGGGGAAACGCTCCCTGCCAGCCAGTAAGTGCAGCCCTGCACTGAGCAGACCAACAGGTGACTTGACAGACAGGTGTGTATTCCTCCCACCTCCACAGCTGCAAGCAGCCACCTCCTACCTTGCCAGCAGAAGCCGGCCACCACCGCCTCCTCTCCTGCAGTGACCCTGCAGCCTGGTGGCACCTACACCCAGCAGGACAAGAGCAAGCTGTAAACACAGACATCCAGCAAAGCTGCTGGGGCTGGGGCTCTCACCTGAACTCCCTCCCCTCACTGTAGTGCCTGGGCATGGGGGCTCGCTGGGTGGCAGTCTCCAGAAGGAGCTTCTGGGTGAACCTGCTGGAGGAAGCAGACTCCGGATCGGCCACCGCCACCACCACCTGCCCCTCCTCTCCTTCTGTGATGTCTTGGTCACATTTCCACTCCTCATCCTCGTTCAAGGTGGGCAGGTACCCAGGCAGGCCCTTCCCTGTCCCGGACCCTGAACTCTGATCACTGTGCACCTTTGGGCTCTCCCCACCCATCCTCGTGTATTCCAAATAAATATCCGACTTCAGGAACAAGGGGTAGGTATTCTCCTCGATCATGGACTGGATTTCCATCTGCGCCTGGTCGAACATGGCCGGGTCGATGAGCTGCTTCAGAACGCAGTCTCTGATGAAGCTTTTAGTGGCTGGCTTGACCTGCTGGGACACGATCCCGCTGCTGTCGAGGATGTACTTCTTGTAAATGGCTTTGGCCAGCTTTAACCTCTTCTCCTCGTTGGAGTCACAGGGCGCCAACTTCCTGAAGCCGCTGCAGGCGAACCAGAAGTCCAGCAAATCCGCGCAGCTCTCGTGCTTCAGAAAGGTCCGGAAAAGGTGGATGCCGTCTTGGTCGTCCAGCAAGGAGTGCAAGGACTCTGCCCATCGCAGGTAGGGCGGCGTCGGGGAAGCGCTGCCCTCCGGCTCGTAGCCCATGTCCAAATCTGGGCGCCGCGGGGTGGCGGTGGGCGGCTCGGCTTTCCCCGCCTCGCCCTTCCCGGCAGAAAAGCCGTGGCCGGCGGGCCGCGGTTCCGCGGAAACGAGCTCGCCCTCCTCCCCAGGGACCGGGGGCCTGGGGGCGTCCTCGGTGAAGCTCCCCGCGAGGTCCAG